AGAGAACAGAGAGCCCACAAGCAGTCCCACATGCACAGTCACATGATGAACAACAAAGACAGAACTGCAATATTGGGAAGGGATTGTCTTTTCTATAAGTGGCACTGGGTCAACCTGACATACATATGAAAAAAATATTGACTCCTACCTCACACTATAAACAAAAATTAACTCAAAATGTAAAGCTAAAACCATAAAACTTCTAATTTGGCAAAGTGTCCTTAAATATGACACAAAAAGCATGAACAAGAAAAAAACGATAAATTGGACTTTATCAAAATTAAAAATTTTGCTTTAATAGGCAAGCCACGGACTAGGAGAAAATATCTGCAAAACATATCCAACAAAGGACTTTTATCTAGCATTAAAGAACTCCTTATACTCAATAAGACAAACAATTCAGTAAAAAAAAAAATGGGCAAAAGACAAACAACTTCATCAAAGAGCATTAACAACTAAGCATATGAAAAGATGCTCAACATCACTAGCCATTAGAGAAAGGAAAATCAGAACCACGATTTAGACACACCCACTAGAATGACTAAAATTAAGAAGGTTTACCACACTAAGTGTTGGCCAGGATGTGGAGGAACAGCAACTCTCCCTGCTGGTAGGGATCCGGTACAACCATTTTGGAAAACGTCTGGTGCCTTCATAAAAAGGTAAACACATACCTACTATATGACCCAGTCATTCCACTCCTAGGCATTTATCCAAGAGAAATCGAAGCATGTGTCCACAGAAAGACATACACAGATGTTCCTAGCAGCCGTATTTGTAACAGCCCCCAACCTTGGAAACAATGCAAATTCCCATCAACAGGTGGATGGAAAGACAAACTGTGGCATTTCCATACAATGGAATACTACTTATCAATAAAAAGGAATGAATCTCAAAATAAAATAACTTTGCTGTAAGAAGCCAGTGAAAAAAAAGAGGACATACTAAATAATTCCATTTATACAAGATTCTAGAAAATGCAAACTAATCCATATAGTGGAGGGAGCAGAGGAAATTTCTGAAGGTAACAGAAACTTTCATTATCTTCATTTTGGAGATACATCAAATTATCAAAGCATATCAAATTATAAATATATGTAGTTTATTATGTCAACTATAACTCAATAAAACTATTTTTATTTATTATTATTTTTTTTTTGAGGAAGACTGGCCCTGAGCTAACATCTGTGCCAATCTTCCTCTACTTTATATGTGGGACGCCTCCCACAGCATGGCTTGATGAGTGGTGTGTAGGTCGGCAGTGGGATCCAAACCAGCGAACCCTGGGCCACCAAAGCGGAACGTTCGAGCTTAACCACTGTGCCACTGGGCTGGCCCGTATTATGTCAATTATAACTCAATAAAACTGTTAAAAAAGTTTCCCAAGAGGTGACACTACCACCTAGCTCTGCCCCATGTTGTGAGCTCCCCTGGAGCTGGGTGACCCTTTGTAGGGCCATCAGGAGATTGGATTAACTAGGTGGCCCCTACAAGAGGCCTTTGGGGTCAGGAAAGCCAAGTAGAGGTGATGGCAATTGACTGGGCGTGCTTGGTAGGTAGGGCTGACTTCTTTTTTAAAGACTGGCCCTGAGCTAACATCTGTTACCAATCTTCCCTTTTTTCTTCTTCTTCTTTTTCCCAGAGCTCCCCAAAACATAGTTGTGTATTCTAGTTGTAGGTCCTTCCAGCTCTGCATGGCTTGATGAGTGGTGCTAGGTCTGTGCTCAGGATCTGAACTGGTGAACCCTGGGCCACCGAAGTGGAGTGCGCGAACTTAACCACTTGGCCATGGGGCTGGCCCCAGTAGGGCCAACTTCCTTTCAATGCCTCAACACATCGCGCTTGTCCTTCAGACAAGCCCAGCCCCTTTCTGCCTCTAGCCTGTCTTGATGTAGCTGGGGGCTCCTCATCATTCAGGTCTTAACAGGAATGTCAAGTGCCTTCACTGAGCACCATGTTGAATTTGGTTCCTAGCCTTCTGTCCAAAAGTCACATTCTGTATTTCTTTATTTTCTTCATTGCACGTATCACAATCAGAAACTCTTATCCATTTGGTTATTTCCTTTCATTTTTATTATCTTGTCTCTTCCTCCCTCCTCTACACTGTTGGTACCCCATAGATTCCTTTCACTGGGGGTGCACCCATCCCACAGGTGCCTTACATGCTGGCTAGCTCACTGTTGCCCCTGCTGATGATTGACTGAAATGGAGGGGGGGGGGGGCGTACAAAAGACTGGCTCCCTTGCGATAAGGAGGCCTAACTCTGGTGCAATTTCTGCAGCTCCCCGTGGGATCGGGCCACAGCTGGTCTCCACTCGAGGCCACACTCTTGCTTAGCTTTAGCTTTTTGCCCTGTCCTGCCCTGCTTCCCTCGCTCCCTTCTCCAGAGAGCACTTCCTCAATAAATCACGCAAACTAGAATTCTCGCCCCAGGCTCTGCTTCCAGGGAACCTGACCCACGACAACCTAGGTCGGCTTCATGAAGAACTATCAGGTTCATGGCCCTGGAACGAATTCCTACCCCAGGCTCTGCCTATGACCCCCTCCCCCCAAGAATGAGAGCTTGATGAAGGAACATCTTTGTCACTTCTGTAGAACAGTGCCTGGAGCACAGCAGGTGCTCAGTAAGTGTGCTGAGGGAATACAGAGGAGAGCCCAGGGTCTGTTTTATAGCCTGGCTTTCAGTACCCCTTCTGTTCTGGACTGATCTGGCCTGGAGGCATTGTGAGTCATAGATGGTGGACAGCAGCTGAGGGGTTCAGAGATGGGGCCAGGCCTAGGACAGCGGCTTGGCACCTCCAACACATCCTCCAGGTGAGGTATTATTGTGAGAATTATTAACATGTGAGGATTATTGAGGAAGGGTCCTCTGGAAAGATGCAACCTCAAGGGTGGGCCTAGTTGCATCTCTTGGGCCTTCTGTGGGCTTCCAGAGATGCATCCCTGAGCCAGATCTAGCCAGCTATGTGTGAGAAATAAGTATGTGTGGAGTTAATGAAGGCATGACAAAGGGAACTCTGCCCCAGAGTTCTTTCCTTTTTCACCCTCCATGAGGAAAAGAGGAATTTAAAAGAGAGCATATTGTCCTCTTTCTCACAAAATAGAATCAGCACTTACAGGGGTGGGGGGGTGGAGGGAAGAATAAGACGTGACCGTTACCTGGACTTTAGCTTCCTTGAGGATGTAGTCTACTTGAGACAAAAGTCATGTCTAGTCTGCACAACCCATTACCTCAAGCCCTAAGCATAGGTCCTAGCCCATGGCACATGCCCCCAGGATGTCACTGAGCACACTGGACTGTGATTACACACCCATCGGGCTCCCCAGCTGGACCAGGATCATCTTGAGGGCAGGCACGGGCTGTGCTGGGACTCCCTGCCCAGATCAGGCAGTGGCACAGAGCAGGTGCCAGTTCAAGGTTGTAAAATAACTGAATGATGAGGGCAGTAACGCTGTTGGACATGCTAGACATCCCACCACATACTTTTAAGAATACAGATTTAGCCCTTGCTTTGCAATCCTTCAGCAGTGCCCTCTTACCCGCAGAATGAAGTCTAAACTTCTAAGCCTGTCTGTACAGTGCCCTCACATAGTGCCTTGGTCCCCCTTTCCAGTTTCCTCTTCTGCTATTCCCAGTCCCGTACCCTTCATCAACCCTACCCAAGCTGCTCTTCACATCTGGAACATGCAAGCCTCCTCTGGCTCTTCACTCTGCCTAGGGCTCTCCATTATCCATCCCAAATCTACGTGGCAAAGGCCTGTGCATCTTTTAAGTACTTATTTGTTTCTGCTGTCATTCTCTCCTTCGGGCCCATAAGCCCTCCAGCAGCCGCCTAGCGCTCAGAGGACAGGGGTCTGGTCCTCCATCTGTGTCTCTGTCCCCACGGCCTGACACACAGTGGTCTTTGGGGAAGGTGGTTTCGTGGAGACTGCCGCTAGTACGAGTGTGCAGGGATGGGCTCCTTACTGGCCAGCTGCTGGTTTGCTCTGAACGGCAGCGTAGCGCTAAGCCCAGTTTGCTGGGCCTCGGGGTTTGCGGGGGCAGCCTGTACTGAGCAGGCTGCTCACCCGGACTCTTGCTCCCCAGTGCCCCTGGTTCGCCTTCATCATTCAGGAAACCGGGACTCCCGAGAAAGGGGCACAGCCCTGGTCGCCCGCGTCTTCGCGGCTCCGTTCCGGGCATCCGCGCGGCCTTCGAGGCCCTCCTGGTCCTCGCCCTGGAGGACTTCAGGTGCCCGGTCTCGGGCCACGCCAGCCGCCTGTGGGAGCAGCTGCGGCAGTTCTGGGCCGACCACTTCTCGCGGCGCTTCTCGCCTCGCCGCCCGCCGCTGCGCCGCATCTCCTCCATGTCCACCTTCTACCTGCTGGACCACCGCACGCGCCAGGCCGAGCTGGGCCTCAGCTACGGCGCGCCGCGCACGCGCCTCAGCGACGAGGCCTTCGTGTTCCGCGGCGGCCGGTGGAAGGCCGAGGGCCCGCCCGGTCGGCCGTCGCTGCCCTCGCCGACCATCACGGGCTGGAAGGCGCAGGTGCAGCGGGTCAAGGGCCAGGTGCTGCTGGAGGAGAACAACTACCTGAAGCTGCAGCAGGAGCTGCTCATGGACATGCTGACGGAGACCACGGCGCGCATGCACCTGCTGGAGAAGAAGCTGGACGCCGAGGCCAGCCCGGCGGCCGCGGCGCGCGCCTGGCAGAGAAAGATGCGCAGGCGCGAAGGCGCGGGCGGCGCGCTCATGTTCGAGCCGCGCGCTCTGCAGTCGCGGTGACGCAATAAAGCCCGCGCGGCGCGCGCCTCCCTCCTCGCCTGCGTGTGGGGCCCGGCGGGTTTGTGGGGCGCGGGCGGGCGTGGGGCGCGCCGCGCGCCGCGGGGACCGTCGCTCGGGGCACGGTGTGGACGGGTGACTCAGTTAGCAGCCCGTCTCGAGAGGGTGCGATAGGGCCCTGGGGGAAGGTGGGGGGGGGGGGGGGGGGGGGGGGGGGGGGGGGGGTGGTGCCCGGCTCGCAGCAGGCAGCGCCCGGGGGCCGGCGATGGCAGGCGGTGGCGGGCGATGGCCTCGGCCAAAGGACGGGGAGCGAAGTCCGGGAGGCAGCGGAACCGGGGCTCAGGGATGCAGGGTGCGGTGAGGCGACCAGGGCGGGCGAGGTCCGGGACCTGGCACTTGGGTGTCCCGGCCGCAGGCGCGCGCGCGAGGGTTTCAGCCTGTGTCTAGGGTAAGTGTATTTACGGCCGCGAAACTATTCCCGGAAAGAAGCTTTCGTGAAACTTTGGGCTCTGCCTCCCCTACTTGGTTGTGCGGCTTTGGGCGAGTCGCTTCTCCGTTACAGGCCTCCTTTTCTCCTGTGTAGAATGATGGGTCTGTCCGACCAAGGGTACAAAGGACCTCTCTCCGGGGCTAATGCTGTGCACAGATAGGCTTTGCTCGACCCACGTTATTTTAAAATTCTGCATTAGTTGCCAACATTTAAGAATTTGGAGATTTCACGTCAAAAACCCAGATTTTCTGTGTTGTCTTGAGAAACCGAAGGACTTGGCCACCCTGGACCTTCATCCTGCCCAGCAGTAGTTGCCTTGAGCTGAATTGTGGCTGCTACCTCCTGGTCAGCTTCAGTCCTTTCCTTCTCTAGGCGTCTGATTTGGATCTTCTAGATCCGTTCTAGACGGGTGTTTTCTCCTAGGACTTGGGGAGCCGGCTCCCCTCTCCCCTCTGTACACACAAGGTATATAAAGTGCAGTGGGTAGCGTGTGGTACTTATGACTGATGTGGCTGCACAACGAAAGTGTTGACACTGCTCCTTGCAGTCTGCAACCTTTTCCGTGGAATGTAGTCAGGCCATTTCAGCATCCACAGAAACTTAAACCGCTGGGACTCTGACCCATTTCCTTAGGGCCATATGAAACCTGTGAGAGAAGTGGGTGGCCTGCCTCAGCCTAACTTGCTTTCAGGAGTAGACTAGGGATTGCTAAACTACTTTGTATAAAAATTGTCAGGGCCAGCCCGGTGGCGCAGTGGTTAAGTTCGCCCGTTGCACTTCTCTGCGGCCCGTGGTTCGCTGGTTCAGATCCCGGGTGTGGACATGGCACGGCTTGGCAATAAGCCATGCTGTGGTAGGCATCCCACGTATAAAGTAGAGGACGATGGGCATGGATGTTCGCTCAGGGCCAGTCTTCCTCAGCAAAAAGAGGAGAGGACGATGGGCATGGATGTTAGCTCAGGGCCAGTCTTCCTCAGCAAAAAGAGGAGGATTGGCAGTAGTTAGCTCAGGGCTAGTCTTCCTCAAAAAAAAAAAGTGACCTTTTAAATTAAATCAGCAAAACAACACAAAACGTCTTTAGACACTAAGCTTAAAACATTTTTTGAGTACTCTTTTGTATTTTAATAATTCTATATATTTATATAGATTAAATAAAAATATTTAAAATAGTTCTGTCGACAAAAATAATCCATAACCAATCTATAAATGAAAATTGGGGTGAGTTTATTCTGAGCCAGATCTGAGGACTAGCTTAGCCTGGGGCCTGCCGTCCCCGAGGAAGGAAGGACACCAAAGAAGTGGAGGTGTACAGAGTGGTTGTATACCGTCAAAGAGCATGTGTCACATATGATTGAAATGTCCCTTTTACAATAGTCATGAGACTGCTCTGTCAGCACAGCGATTGATGGACACAGCAGTTTGTAGGTTTGCTGTCTCGGTGGGCACAGCAGGGTGGCGGGTCTGTTGTTTCAAGCTGGGTGGTCACAGGTGAGCACAGCAATCAATTCCTAATCTAGGGAGAGATGCTTATCCTTAAGGAAATGCCGATGTGGGGGAAGTTGCACCTTTATCGTAAGGGCATTTGTTCTTTTCTTTGGGACATAGGAAATGCTTAAAGCAGATATACAATGCGGCCACATCAGGCCCTTTTAGAAAAATGAGGTCACTGGGGCCTGCTCCGTGGCTGAGTGCTTAAGTTCGCGTGCTCCACTGCGGCGGCCCAGGGTTCGGATCCTGGGCGTGGACATGGCACTGCTCGTCAGGCCACATTGAGGCGGCATCCCACAACTAGAAGGACATGCAACTAAGATATACAGCTGTGTGCAGGGGGGGTTTAGGGAGATAAAACAAACAAACAAAAAAAAGATTGGCAGCAGTTGTTAGCCCAGGTGCCAATCTTTGGACAAAAAAAAAAGGAAGATTGGTAACAGTTGTTAGCCCAGGTGCCAATCTTAAAAAAAAAAAAAGGAAAAGAAAAATGAGGTCAGGCCAAATTAGGTTTACACCAAATGGCTTCCTCATATACTCCAGTATATCCTATTGCTTGCCATTTGTTTGTTAGTTGGGATGGTGAAATAAAATTCTCTTTTAAAATAACAAAGAAAATAAAAAATATACAGAAAAGTAAATGAGAATGGAATCAAAACAGTACACTGGAAAAAAAAAAAAAGAAGGCACTAATGGTGAAACCATACTAAGCCAGACACAAACACATATTGTATGGGTCTGTTTATGTCAAATACCCAGAATAGGCAAATCCGTAGAGACAGAAACCAGATTGGTGGCTCCCAAGAGTGAGGGAGAACGGGGGGAGCTGGTGGGGGGGGGGGACTGCATAAAGGGTGCAGGGTTCTCTTTTGGGTTGATGAAAAATGTTTTGGAACCATAGTGGTAATGGTTGTACAACGTTGTGAGTGTTCTAAAAGCCACCGTATTGTACACTTTAAAATAGTGAACTTTGTTGTAAATGCACATTTGGAAAGCGAATGTCTTCTGTCTTTGTAACCCTGGGGAAGGATACAGTATCTACAGAGTATCTCCCAAATGATTAACAGAAGTCAACAGCGTGAAAAGCAGGCGCTGTGGCAACTTCTAGTTTTATAATTTTGTATTTTATAAGCATGCATTACCTTGATAACAAAAAGCAATTATTTTAAAGCAAAATGTACAGGCAAAAGTTATCTTCACATAATTTAAATGAGAATTGACTTTGAATAAAAATGTAAGGTTGCTGAAAAAAAAAAGTGAACTTTGAATTTCACCACAAAAAAAGAATTTTTAAAGGAAAGTGCTTTACGTGAAAACATGAATTAAAAACTATATACAGCATGGGGAAATAGCAAAAATCATAAAGATCATCCAAGAAAGCCGAAAGTTTAGGAAATATTGCTTTGGCCAGAGTACTTGAAAACAGTAGTTCTAGAGAAAAGTGTCTGCGCTGCCAGACCAGCAGTAGCAGGCAGGAGGCCTCCTCTTTAGGGAGGGGCGTCCAAGTGGATGAAGGGGCAGGAGGATATTTTGAGATACCTGACTGTTCTTTCTGCTCTGGAATTTCACCCCCTAACTGAGGCAGGCGAGCTCATTGCCCCAGGGAGGGAGCAAAAACAAGAAGAAAGGACTCTTTGTGGCTTTCACCTCCTACAGCTCAGAACCCTGTGGGGAAGAGAGCTTTGCAAAAATATTTTTGGGCTTGAGGAGGGAGGTCAAAAAGGCTGTAGATTTGTCTACAGCGAGGGGACAGATGAAGACAAATGGGAGCAGAGACCCTGGTAGGTCTCCCATCTTGGAAAAAATCCTTTCTTGACCCTACATTGCCTTCCAGCTACTGCCCCGTTTCTCCACTTCCCTTTATAACCAAACTCCAAAAATTTGCTTAGATTCATTGTCTTCAATTCCTCCCCTCCTTCTTTGTGCTTAATCTCCCTAAACTGTGGCTTTCTCACCCCTGCCACACGCCCAGTCCTCCCCCCCCCCCAGTCCTGCCCCTCCCCCCCGCCACCCCGTCTGCTCTTGTCAAGGATGCCATTCACCTTCAATGTTGTTAAGGCCTTTAGCTAATTCTCCATCCTCACCTTGGCCCATCAGCAGCATTCCATGCAATTGACCCCTGCTCCTCCTCGAAATACCTTCTTCTCTTGGCTTCTAGGGCACCACACTCTTCTGATTTCCCTCCTACCTCACGGTTGCTCCTTCTCAGTGTCTTGCTGATTTTACTCACTCTCACTTCCTTCAGCTGTCTGCTAAATGTCACCTTTCAGTGAGGTTTTCCCTCAGGACTATTTCAGAGCATGCCTTTTCCGCACCCCCAACCAAACCAGCACAACTTCTACTCCTATCCTGCTTTGTTTTCTACCGTCTGTCACCATTTGACTTGCTATGTGCTTTATTTATTTTCAGTCTCCTCACTTCTAGATTGTGAACTTCATAGGGCTTTTTATTCTGTTCTCTCTTGTTTCTCAGTGTAGAAATGTTTTTAACACTTGTTAGGCCCTCTCCAGATATTTCTAGAATGAAGGTGAATAAGAGAGGGCCTCCTAAATCTCAGGGAGCAGAGGTTGTTTGGCTTGTGGCATTGTCGCAGGTTTCTGGTCCCCTAGGAGGCACCAGATGCTTTTGGAACTTTTGGTTACATCTGATCATCCCACCTATGATTTTAGCCACAGCTGTGGTGACACAGCTAATGTGTACACTGTCAGTGCCTCATTTCAAGTATCCACTGTGGGTTTCTCTGCTTTTCTGCTTCAGGGCTTTCTCCTATGCCTCAGGAGCTCTCTCAACCCACAGGCATAGTCTGGGAGTGCGGGAGAGTTAATGCCTTCTGGGGCACCCTTCCACCAGTAAGGGACAGAAGCCAAAACACACTTGGTTGAATTTTCCTTCTATCCTGTGTCATTCTCCTCCCTTCCTGCCTCTCTTTCCCTGGAATCATCTATCAAATAAACTACACCCAAGTTCTAGACTCATGCTCTGCTCTTATGGGGATTCAAGCTCAGGCAGGTAGTAGGAAGTAGCATTAGAAGGCAGACCATAGGGATAGAAATCTAGAACTGGACCACCCACCTTTCGGAAGGCAACAAGACCTCTCACCACTGTTGGTGGGGGGTGGTGATGACCCTTAGTGTCCAAGTATAAGACTCTTACCTTTGGTAGATTGGAAGGAGAGAGAAGTTGAAGAGAAAACTTGGCTCATGTAGTAGCTTTGGCACTTGAAAGATGTGGAGGAAGCTGTAATTACAAGGATTATGGAGGTTGTTAGCTTTTCTAAACTGCCTTAGAAGCTTTGAAGAAAGAATGAAAGATTCAGGTTGGTCTGCTCAACTCGGCGTGAGGTGAAAGCCAGAAGGTCTCCCAGGACAGCATGTACAGTCATGCTCACTTCTGTGGCCGGGAGGCAGAGCATGCTGAAAACAAGGCCCGGAATTTCATCTTAAGGGCAGCAGAGCTGCAGACAAGACCCA